GCCCCCCAGCAGCCCTCGAAAGTGGCGACAGTTTCACAGATCGCCCCCCCCAGGGACGGCGAGGTCTACTTTGAGTCCGCGGTGAGTACCCACTGTGCTGGGCCCCCCAGCTGCCCTCGAGTGTGGCGACAGTTTCACAGATCGCAGCCCCCCAGGGATGGCGAGGTCAAAGGCAGGGGGGAAGAGAGGGACGGGAGGGGGTGCAGGGGGGAAAGGAGACGAGGAGGGGAGAAGGGAGGAGAGGGGAGAGGGGACGGGAAGGAAGGAAGGAGACGCGCGAGCAGTGCTCCATTCAAAACGAGAACCCAACGCAGGAGGGTTGGGAATAATGCTTCTTGATCCCTCACGTCCGGTGCGCATGTTTTTTTCGATTGAAGTGCCCTTCCCGGGGATCGCATCTTGTTTTTGGGTAGAGAAAAGCTTGAGGGTCAAACTGTGTCGTTGGCCCCCGGTTTACAACAACAGCGGCTCCCGCTTGAGACCTCCTCACAATTTTGCCAGGACCCCCGCTCGCGCCCGAGACTTCCTCCCGTTTTATTCACGAATCGCGCTCTCGCTTGGGACTTCCTTAGAATTTATGCTCCTGGCGCTCTGGAGTCGCGCTCTCGCTAGAGACTTGCAATTTACTCAAGAATAGCGCCCTTGCGTTGGACTTTCTTGCGATTTACTCAAGCGCCGCGCTCCCGACACCCAGGCTCCCAGGACTCGCGCTCACGCTTAGGACTCCCTCACAGGTTACATACGAATCGGGATCTCGCTGCCCTCCGTGGCCCCGTTGCAACCCTGCGTGGCCCCCTCGCTTTGTTTCGTGGCCCCGTTGCAGCCTTTCGTGGCCCCCTCGCTGCCCTTCGTGGCCCCGTCGCAGCCTTTCGTGGCCCCGTTGCAGCCCTTCGTGGCCCCCTCGCTGCCCTTCGTGGCCCCGTTGCATCCCTTCGTGGCCCCCTCGCTGCCCTTCGTGGCCCTATATATGTATGCCCTTCGTCGCCCCCGCACGTTCGCGCCCGTAGTGGCCCCATCTGCTTCTGTCCTACGTGGCCCAGTTGCTACCCTCAGTGGCACCATCGTTGCCTCCTGTGGCCCCGCATTACTGCCCTTCGTGGCCCCCGCTCGTTCGCGCTCTTCGTGGCCCCATACGCATTCCCTTCGTGTCCCCGCTGCCCTTCGTGGCCTACTTCGTGTCCTTGTGGCCCCGCTGTCGTTCTCTTTCGCTCTCGCTTTCGCTCGTGGTCGTCGTCGCCGTCGTCGTCGTCGCCGTCGTCGTCGACGTCGTCGTCGTCGTCGTCGTCGTGGTCGGTCCCCTGTCCGTCCCTCTTGGGGTCGGGTCGACGGTCCGCGGCCGCCCCGCCGATCAGCGCTGCCGCTGTCCAGGCCGACGGTCCGCAGCCGCCCCGCCGCTTGCCGGGGCCCGGCCTGCAGGGAAGAATGGTATACCCCCCAAAAGGGGTTCGATCGAAGACGAAGAGGGCGGGTATCGAGGGTTTGGGAAACAGGCGCTACTGAACACTCGAGCAAATAAGGGCGAACAATCTTACAATGATTGTTGCTGTTGTTGCTGGTGTCGTTGGTGTTGTTGTTAATGTTGTTGGTGTTGTTGTTGGTGTTGTTGCTGTTGCTGTTGCTGTTGCTGTTGTTGTTGTTGTTGCTGTTGATGTTGTTGTTGGTGTTGTTGCTGTTGTTGTTGTTGGTGGTGTTGTTGTTGTTGCTATTGTTGTTGTTTGTCGGTGCTTCTTGTTGTTTGGTGTCGTCGTCCCACCCGCGACCCACCCGCGACCCACCCACGACCAACACCGCGACCCACCCCGCGACCCTCCCCGCGACCAATCCGCGATCCAACCCTCGACCCACCCGCAACCCAACCCGCGACCCACCCGCGACCCACCCATGACCCACCCGCGACCCACCCCACCACCCACCCGCGACCCACCCCGCGACCCACCCGCGACCCATCCGCGACCCACCCACGACCCAACCAGCGAACCACCCGCGACCCACCCGCGACCAACCTTCAAGGGAGGAAGAACCACCCGGACCCGACAACTGACGTTTACAAAACGGCCTTGGGCGTTTACTAAACAGTCCTGCCCTGATCGATTCATTCCTCGCGTGGGTTTACTCAACGGCTTCGCTTGCCGGGGTGATTTTTATGGGGTCTTCTTTTTGCCCTCTATACCCGCGACCCACCCGCGACCCAACAGCGACCCAACAGCGACCCAACAGCGACCCAACAGCGACCCACCCGCGACCCACCCGCGACCCAACAGCGACCCACCCGCGACCCACCCGCGACCCAACAGCGACCCACCCGCGACCCACCCGTGACCCATTCGCGACCCACCCGCGACCCACCCGCGACCCACAGTGACTTACCCACATTGGTTGAACGAGAATTATCAGCGCCTGTGGCGGGCTCGTTGTATATTTTGTGAAACTTTGGCCCCTGCGGCGGGCTTCTTCCGAGTCTGGCAAGCTGCCGACGTCGCCACCGCCCCCATCACTCTTATCCGCATCTGCGGGGTGCGACGTATTAAGAAAATTACGGGTTCGATCTATGCGGGCCTTTTTGAAAGTCCTTGTGGAGGCCTCTTGGGCCGTCTTTGGCGATCTTGAAGCCATCTTGGCCCATTTTGGGGGTATCTCGGCCCGTCTTGGAGACATCTTTGGGCCATGTTGGGTAGTTGTGGGGCCATCGTGGCCGACTTGGAGACAATCTCTGCTGTCTCTGAGGCCCTTTTAGGGCCATCTGAAGCCGAAATTCTGACGACCTGGGAAGTTCACGGGTCCTCGTGGAGTCGAGTTTTCCGTTGGTTTCGTTCTTGCGTCCTTGCGCGTCTTTCCTGGTGGCCGGCGGCTTCCCTTGTGAACTTTGAAAAAGGCAACAGCTACTTATTTTCGGCAAGCCACAGGGAGCGGTGGACCGAAGACGCCTAAGGCGAATCACTGCCAACCCCTGCCGTTTAGGATGCGCCTATGTGGTCAAACGTTTGGGCTACATTTGGCCGTGCTATTGGACCATGCGTTCCCCCAGCCGTTGTGGAAGCCCTTCGGGGAACACGTTGAGGAGGAAGGGGAGGATGAGGAGAGGGAGGAGGAGACCTCTTGTGAGCTTATTGGGTCATTCTTGGGGCCTCCTGGGAGCCTGGGGGCCTCTTGGAGGCCTCTGGGGGCATCCCCGGGCCTCTTGGGGGCCTTTGGAGTCTTCTTTGTAGCCTCTTTGGCCGTCTTAGGGCGTTCCTGGTCTGTCACACGCCGTCGGGTACCATCTTCGGAGCCTCTCTGGGCCGCCTTGGGGCCCTCTTGGGGCGCTTCAGGGTCGTCTTGAAGGTCATCCTGGGCGTCTTGGAGGCCTCTTGGGCAGCCTGGGGGCCCTTTGGGGGCCGTCTTGGCGGCCTCTCGGGCCGTCCTTGGGTCATCTTGGGGGCCTCCTTGGTGGTCTTGAGGCCATCTTGGGGGCGTGTTGGGCGGTCTTGGGCTGTCGGAAGGCAGTTTTGAAGCAAAGGCCAACATCATTCAAATAGCAACGGAAACGCTATGATTAGGGCCTCTTCGGGCTTTCCTAAAGGACCTCTTGGAGGATTATTGGGTTGTCTTCAAGAGCCTCTTGGACGCCTCTGGGCCGTCTTGGGCCATCTTGGAGCCGTCTTGGGCCGTCTTGGTGGCTTCTTCGGCGGACTTGGAGGCATCTTGGACCCTTTCGGGTAGTCTTGGGACCCATATTGGATTATCTTGGGCGAAGGCCATCTGGGCCATCAAGGAGCCGATGGGGCCAATGGAGACCGCAATTTGGGAGCTTTCCAGGTGGCCAGCGTGTTGCGCCGAAGCCCCAGGGGGAGTTTTCAAATTGTGTATGTTTTTTTTTGTATAGAAAAACGCATTAAATTTAGCACGCCGGGCACCCCTTTGGCAAGACCACAGGGGGCGGCGGATCCAGAGGCCGTCGGTCCATTCCGCCAGCGTGTCTGGATTGTGGGGTAAAGTTCTCCTGAATGCCTGTTGGGGTCTCGTCGGATGCCTCTTGGGAGCCTCTTGGAGGTCTCGTGGGCCACTTGGGGGCCCTTGGAGCCTCTTCGGGGCCTACAGGGTTGTCTCGGGAGTGTCCTGGGGCCTCTTGGCTCCGCTTGGGTACGTGCGAGGGCCTGTTGGCGATCTTGGGGGCCAGCTTGACGTAAGAGGGCTCGCGTCTGGGGCCGAAATATGTGACAATCACAAAGCACGTTCAATGATTTCCCCTGGGTGGACCTGGCACTGGTCCCCTGGAAGGGCACGCGACGGGACTTGGTAATGGGGCGAGACCCGCGACGCTGCGGATTGAGTAAGTCACATCGTCCGGTCATTGATTGGGGGGGGCACGAGACTCGAGCAGTGGCGAAGTGTCTTGGCCTGCCTGCAGGCACACCAACGAACATTCGAAGAATTGGTTGAAGCTTGCACGACATGTTCTTAGAACATGTATGGCTGGGACTGTTTTGTTTCAACAAATCGGCTGTCTGTTGTAAGGATTTTGCTTTGGTTTGAAAGCACGGTTGGTTCTAAGAATGTCTCGCGGTAGGCCTACAGCACGGCTCCTGCTTAAGAGGCTGGGCACGGGGCTCGAGACGGAAGCAAGGGAAAATCATACGACATCTGGCCAGGGCTTGAGAACGAATGCCGAGGACAGCCTCCAGGTGAAATCTGCAATGGGCCCTGCGGCGTTCGCTGCTTTGGGGACCGTCCCGGAGGGTTGCCACCCGTCGCTCCGTGAGCATGGTAGCGCATGCAAGGCGAATTGTCTTAGCGCGCAGGGGAGAGCCCAGTGTCGAACACCATTCCATCGCGACGCCTTCGAGTCAAAGGACGTTTGATGGTGTCCGTCTGCCTGTCCTCAGAGTGTGGCGAGTGGGATTTGTTTTCGGAATGTTGCTGAGATGTGGTATACTGAGTATACTGTCGGAAATGATGACTGGGCTTTGGAGGAGAATATGGCAAAGCAGTGTCGTGATGGCACACGGTGCACGGGATATCAGGCGACGCGATGTTTGCCCAGAAGTTGTTGATCGCAGTTTCGTGGCTGATGACCTTCGTCGAGGCACAGCGCCCGTTGATGACGAAGATGGAGCAGGACCCTCGCTTGGGAGGGACCTGGTCGAGGTGGAGATGTAGCGGAGGACGATTCGCATGATTGCCCACAGCATGGTAACCAGGGAGAACGTTGTGGGTGAAGGAGAGGATGATCATGATGGGGGAAGGAGCAGTTGATGTCTGCCTCCTACCTCCTCCTCTCCACCGAAGAAAGATGTCCATCTCATGCTCTTTGCACCTGCTTCTGTCTCTGCCCTTACTCCTTCTCTTGCTGCTGCTGTTGCGCCTGCTGCCTCCCCTTTCCCAGAGATCCGGTGTGCCGATGTTTTTGATGCGGGGTTCCTGGAAGTGCTGGCCCGTTCCCCAGCAGGGCAGGCTTTGCAATTTGTGTTGGCGCTCCGGTGGCCCAGAGAGGGGGCGAGAACATATTGCTCCTGGGGCCCATCGAGCCAGGGGCACGTCTGCCCCCAAACATGCACTACATTGAGACAGTGAACGAGGCGGGTGTCTCTCGCCTGGCCCCGTCGCCGTCAGAAAATGGTTCAGGACGAGAAGCCAGCCTTGAGAAAGGGTGGGGACTTTGGGGACCCCGGGCCGAACAATTCAAGACAGTGGGTCCCTGTGCCAGCGCAGCTGACTGGCCGAGGCCCAGGCCTGACAGCACGGCGACCATGCTTTTGCAATGACGCGCCCGACTCTTCGCCTCTCGTCGCCCGAGTGCGGTGCCGTCCCAGTCCCACGACTTTCTGAGTTTTCTCTCAGCACTGATCCCGGGGCCCAAACATGAATCCCAGACGCTGAAGGTTGCGAATAACCCGGAATCGAAACACAAGTATTCGGTGGCCTCGAGCCCAGACATCTGCCGGCTCGAGCTTTCCGAGACGCGGCCCCGGCCTTCGCGACCTTTTCCGCCAGTCAGCTTCTCATCCTGAGCTTTTTTGTTGAGCTGCCCTGGGGCCCGGTTGGCACATCAGTCCGGCCGTTCTCTTTCCCCGCCCTGTTCTGCTGAGGCGCTGTGCTGCAGTCTGGCGCGTGGGCCCTCGAGCGGCCCCCGCGGAGGCCCGAGGTGGCGAGAGAAGCCGGGCGTCTCGATGCCGTTGTTCGAGCCGCCAGGTGCTTGGGATGCCTGTATCGGGGGAGCGCAAGACCCGCGTTTGCCAGGACTCGGGTGCGCCATCGTTTTTTGACGACCGCGCCTCGGATTTTGACGAGGAGGAGTTTCGTGGGATGTCTGCAGCGGGAGGCCTCGTCAAAATGCACGCTCGGCCTCGTCATTTTTTTGACGACCTCGTCGGGGATTTCCGAGTCCCCTGTGCCCGGGTCTTACGTCTCCCCGACTGTAGCTGCCGCCTCCGCGCCCGCCCGCCCCTGGGCTTCGCGGCGGCGCGCGCCTGGCGCACGCGTGAGCCGCCGCGGTGTGCACCAGCGGCTTGCTCAGGGCCTGCGCCTGGCCCAGCCTCGGGCCCCGAAGGATTGGTTGATTCTGTGCACGCCGGGGCACCGGAGGCAAGTGGGTAGGCGTGGAGTTGGACCGGCCGCCGCTTCTCGGAGGAAGGGTTCGGAGGGAGGAGGCGAGCTGCGCACAGAAGGGGGTGTGCTAGGATTGGGGGCGCTGATAAGATGGCAGGGGGCCCCTTGGACGCCTGGACGGTGTGTTCTGTGAGGCTTCGGCGAGTTTTTTCACAAGAGGCTCACAGTGAGTCAGAGCCCCGAATCATCAGGGGTAACTCGGGTCAGGGATAACTCGGGTTCCTTTTCCGGGAATCCAAACCCGAGTTACCCCGGACCCGGGTTACCCCGGATAATTCGGGCGCCCAAGTGAGCGGCTTGAGTAAGGAACACTTACTTTTCAAAAGGGGCTCGGTCGTTCATGCGTTGTTTACAGTTCCTTATGCGTTATGTGTATCGTTCCTTATGCGTTATTCCTTGGGATAAAAAAAAGGGGCTTCGTTCCTTATTTATCGTTTCTTAGGTCAGGCCGATGATTGTACGCCACCCCGCTGATCCCCAGAGGGGGGATGAAGTCCACGGGGGAGGCCGTTTGGAGCCTCTTGGGAACCCTCCGGGGGCATCGTTAGGGCCTCTCGGGAGCATCTTTTCGGGCCCCTTGGGAGCTTCTTGGACGCCTGCTGGCGGTCTCGGGGGCCCTCTTGGGGCGGAGGGCTCGGAATTGTCAGTTCGAGTTGCCTCTCTTGGGCCCCTTCTGGGGCCCCGTTGGGGTTCTCGTGGGCCGTTTTGGGCGCCTCTCGGGCCGTCTCGGGACCATCTTCGGCCGTCTTGAGGCCCTCTTGGTGGCTTTGATTGGGCCGTCTGGGAGCGATCTTGCTGGCCTCTTGACCAAAAATGCCAGCATGCTCTGGATATACGCTTTCCGTTGGGATTTGGGCGATGCTTGTTTCTTGGGCGTTCTCGGGGGTTGTCGTAGAGCCCTCTAGGGGCGTCCCTGCGGCCTCCTGGGCAGTCTTGAGGCCACCTTCGTCGTCTTTGAGGACTCCTCGGCGTGTTGGAGCCCAGCTTGGGCCAGCTTAGATGGCAGCTTAGGCATCCTGGTGGCTACGGACTCCTTAGATTTGGAGGTGGCAAGTTTACTTGCATGGCATTCTCCCGCCTCCGCTGCCCTTTCGAGCAGCGCTGAGCCGAAAAGACGTGTAAGTGAGGCCCGACTTGCGTGAACTCCCGATGTCCTTTCGGGCCTCGCCACGCCCGCCATTCATGAAAGCAAACTTGCCAGAGCCCAAAGAGAGACGGCCTCATGCGCACCGGCGGCTTGCCAGGGGGGGGGGGGCGCCCGGCCTTGACCCCCCAAGGATCGGTTGGTTTTGTTCAACCCCGACACTCCTCGCTCCGTTTCGGCCTTTGGGGGCCGTCTTCGGGCCCTGGGGTCATCAAGAAACGGGCCCGTCACCACCCCCTGCAAACCACCCCAACCCAACCCAGAGGCCATAATTTGCCCTCCGTTCCCATGGGGGGGGGACGTCGAAGAACATTGAAAAAACACATGTGGGACCATGCCCCCCCCAGCCCGAAATTTGAGGCTTGGGTTGGATTGGGGCGGTCTCGCAGGTAGTCAGTCCGGGGCAGAGGACTGCCCTAGGGGAAGGGGTCGGGAGACCTCTGGGGCAAAACTCAAGGCCTCCTAGATGGGGTCCGAGTAGATGGGATCGGAGGATCGCGCCGCATCGCCGATGCATCGACGTTGCGGCTCGATGTGGAGCCCGTGTTTCTCCGCGATGACGTCGCCGATGCATAGCCGACGTCGCCAATGCATCGCCGATGCATCGGCGACACACTGGCGATGCGGCTCGATCCTTCGACCCCACCAACCCGGACCCCATCTAGGAGACCTCTGAAGACGTGGCGTCGCTGGACGTCGTCGGATGGTGGGGAGGTGCGGGCGGGCGCAGCGGCGCCAGCGGCGCAGCTTCCTCTGCGCAGAGGGTACCTGCATCCGGCGTTGCCAGGTCGTGCCCCTGGCTTTAAGTCGGGCCTGTCCCTCTCCAGGGGGAAGATTCAAAAATTGTTGAGATATAGTCTGGGGACGATGTATCTAACATTTGTTGTTGATGCTTGACTTTTGTGTTGACCATGTCTAATTTTTCGCTCCAAATCCCCCTGTAGTAGGACATGCCCGACCTCCCCCTGGCCCAGGGTGCCCCTAGGATTTCCAAGACGGCCCGGGCGGCCTCCAGAGCACGCACCCACGAGGCACAGAGGGCCCCGGGGGGGCTCCAAAAGGCAGCGAGAAGCTGGGGACACCTTGGGCCAGGGGCACCTTCGGGAGCGGCAATGAGGAGGGTGGTGACTAGGGGGGGGGTGGATATCATAGCGTGGGCCATGATATTTCCCCAGATTTTATGGCGCCTCTTCTTGTTTCATTACGTCCCCAGCCCCCCCGCTGGGCCGCGCACATGCCGCCGGTCATGATTTGCACCCCCCCTCTTGGACCCCCCCCTCTTGGCCGCTCCCGACACCTGTATCAGGCGATCGCAAACATGGATCAGGGGTGTGTGGATTAGCAAAGGGCCCCGTTTCCCTGGGAAATCGCGGACTTCCCGCTGCCGGACGAGGCGGCACCGGCCGCATTTTGGCGCCAAATCCATGGATCGCTAATCCATGTTTGCGCGCCCCGACTGTAGCAACTCCTGACTGCACCCCAGAACCCAGGCCCCCAACGCATGGAAACAAGAAGCACCACGGCGTGCCCATCTCAGGGACGCGGACGAGCTCGAGGCTGGTCAGTGCCAACCGCCACCAGGCCTGGACAGGGCCGCCCCGAGCCCTCAGGGAGAGCGCATGCGCCATGCCAGGGCCAACGATGGCCCTGGCTTGGCATAGTGGTGCACAGCTGGGGAAGCGTATAATTCCAGGGCTCTGGAACTCGGGTTGACCGCTGTTTATTGACGGTCCCGGGGTTTAGTCTAAGCCTTGTCATTGTTTTGACAGTCCTGTTCGGCAATTTCGACTCCCGATCAGGAGTTCTATCTTCTCCCGATCATGACGTCTTCTGCTTACCTTTTCCCTCTCCGCCGACGTTGCGGTTTTGTTCACTGGGTCAGGCGGTTTGTCCTCGACTCCAGTATTTGGAGGTTTCTGTTTGGGGGCCCAGGCCTATCTGACAAATGCTGTGGTTGTTACGCTGGCCCTGGGGGCCGCGTATTGAAATTCTTTACGCTTCGCGTATCCCCACCAGCCCATCTCACAGCAGCAGCTCTCGCGAAGCATGTCGACAGTTGTGTTTTTCAGGCGTGTGTCCGCTGGGCTCCGTATATCTCCCCTGTCCCTCCTTCCTCCCGCCTCCTTGTGAATCCTCCTCGGGCTCCTCGTGGTGTGAGTCGTTCGGGGCGCGCGTCGTGGTGTGAGTCGTTCGGGCTCCTCGTGGTGTGAGTCGTTCGGGCGCCTCGTCCTGGTGTGAGTCGTTCGGGCCCCTCCTTGTGGTGTGAGTCGTTCGGGCTCTTCGTGGTGTGAGTCGTTCGGGCCCCTCGTCCTGGTGTGAGCCGTTCGGGCTCCTCGTGGGGCCTCTTGGGGGCCTCTTGGAGCCTCTTGGGGGCCTCTTGGGGGCCTCTTGGGGGCCTCTTGGGGGCCTCGTGGGGGCCTCGTGGGGCCCTTGGGGGCCTCTTGGGGGCCTCTTGGGGGCCTCGTGGGGGCCTCTTGGGGGCCTCTTGGGGGCCTCTTGGAGGCCTCTTGGGAGCCTCCTGGGGGCCTCTTGGGGCCATCTTGGGGCCATCTTTGGGGCCTCGTGCGACCTCCTCAGAAGCGCAAATGAGCGCTACCCCCTGAGAAGGACAAAATGAGTCCAAAACCTTCGTTAAATCAATGATTTTGCGATGAAGGAAGATAAGCGCGGCCCCCTCGGGAGGCCAAACTGAGGCCAAAACCATCGTAAAAGCAAGGATTTTGGCTTCACAGAAGAGGAGGGGGCTACAAGAGCGCCCACTACTCGCCCCCCCGTCGGGGCCAGAATCCTCGTGAGGGTCGTCGTTTTTTGGCCCTCCCAGGCGTAGAAAAAGACCCCCCTGACCACCCGCGGGACTCCCTGTCCAGGCCCAGGGGGAGGGGGTAGGGGGAGAGGTAAACCCCTCCCCGAAGGGGAAGAAGGGGGGTTGAGGACAGATGGGGGCTCTCTAAACCACTCACACCCAGAGGGCTGGTGGGATTTGACTGGCGAAGAAAACAACCTTTTGTAAACCAGTGGCGGCTACAACCAGGACCGCTCCACGCCATGCGAACGCAGCCACTGCGGCCTTCAGTGAAGTTCTCCACGTGGCCGCGAGGCGTTTGAGGGGTCTGCCGAAATAGGGTGGGACCGCATGCAGACGCAGCCTCTGCGGCCTTCGGTGGAGCTCTCCATATGCGGGCACGAAGCGCGTGAGGGTGTGCCGCAATTTGGTGGGGCCGCTTGCGAACGCAGCCACTGGGGCCTTCAGTAGAGCCCTCCATGGGGCCATGAAGCGCGTGAGGGGTCTGCCGAAATCGGGCTGGGCCGCAAGCGGACGCAGCCTCTCGGGCCTTCGGTGGAGCTCCCTGCGGGCCACGCAGCTTGTGGTGAGGGGTCTGCCGAGCATGGGGTGGGGCCGCACGCGACCGCAGCCTCGGGGCCCCTCGGTGGAGCCCCCGATGGGGCCACGAGACGTGCGAGGGGTGTGAAATGCGGCGGGGCCGCACGCGACCGCAGCCAGTGTGGCTCTCGGTGGAGCTTCCTAAAGGGCCACGAGACGTATGACGGGTCTGCCGAAACGGGGCGGGGCCGCATGCGAACGCAGCCACTGGGGCCTTCGGTTGAGCTCCCCATGGGGCCATGGGGCGACAAAACGTGTGAGGGGTCTGAGCCACTGGGGCCTTCGGTGGAGCTCCCTAGTTATAGGGCCACGAAACGCGTGAGGGATCTGCCGAAAATAGGGCGGGGCGGCATGTGATCGCAGCCATTGGGGCATTTCGAGGAGCTCCCTATGGAGCCAAGAAACGTGTGAGGGGTGTGCCCAAAATGCGAAGAGGGAAGAGGATAATGATGCCGAAGCGGAGGCAGGAGGAGGAGGATGGGAGGAGGAGGAGTGGGAGGAGGAGGCATTGGAGGAGGAGGAGGAGGCATTGGAGGAGGAGAAGGAGAAAGAGGGAGACGCGCAGCACTGCGGATTCAAAGCGAGGACCCATCACACAGGAGGGTCGGGAACTTTCAAACATCTCATCACGACGTCAGAAGTCTTCGTGTCCAGGCCTCCGACATGGCGAACATGTAGTACTTCGTCCCTGGGGGATGTAGTTCGTCCCTGTGGGATCCCAACGTCCAACGTACCTGATCGCCCCGAGCGTTCTGGTGAACCCACCACCGCCAGCGCCAGCTGGCGCGGGACCGTTCAAGCTCTGGTCTGCACGATGTCGTGCGGATAGCGACAATGCCCCCCGCGTTCCCCTCCTTCAGTTGATCACCTTCTCCCTGGCCTTGTCTCCGTCCCGCATCTTGCCGCCTTTTCTGGCAGTGCTGATGGTTGCTGCGCCCAGTGGCTGCTGCCAGTCGGGCTGGATGTGTGTGTGTGTGTGTGTGGGAATTGGTGCCTAGGCGTTGCCCGCGAGATTCCTGCGAGCCGCCGGCGCCCGCCAGCACCCTGGGACTCATCGGCCCGCAGTTTCCATGGGGAGATCCATTCTCAAGGGCTCCCTCGAGGGCGCGGGGTCATTCGCGCTTCGCGCTTCGGCTCCGAGTCGTCATCCTCTTCTCCCCTGGGGGCCGGCGCGGGAGCGCGAAGTTATTCGCGCTTCTCGCAGCGCGTAGCGCGAAAGTCAGCGCCCTTGATTCTTCCGGCTACTCCAAAAACTCACGATCGTTGGATGAACACAGTACGGCGTCCAGAGGCGCTCGGGGACCTCGGGGCCTCTGAAGCGTCGAGCAGATGACTCCCGGTGAAAAGGTGTTTCCAGGGAAGGAGGAGGTGAGGAGGTCGGGGTGTCGGCGGCTCGACAAAAGAACGAGTCGTCAGAGGTCGGGTTCGGCCAAAAGCCATTCTGCGGATTGACGTTCTCGCGTGTTGCCTGGCAGAGTCTGGGAATTCGGTTGGCAGAATGCAGGGCGGGGGAGGACAAGCTGCCGTTGCCTATCACACCGACGATGATGACTGGCATTATGGTCACCGGTTCCTCTTGACATGTGCGGGACATCATTTGAGAAGTGGAGCCAGCAGAGGAGGACATACAGAAGGAAAGGGGCGCATGCAAAGGCAGAGGGGCGCACGGGAGAGGGGGCAGACGGGCCGCATATCACACAGGGAGTAGAAGTGATGTGAAAGATGCGGAATCACCGCAGAGCGCCAACTTCGAGTCTCACATGTTTATTGTTTCGCTGTTAAGACTTGTGTTCGCGCGAGCGCGTGCCGAAATAGCGAGCGAAGTTGCAGTGGCATATGTGGTTATGGCTGGAAGGTATGTCTACAGATAGTGACATGCCTGTGCATGCCAACATGCAGGGCTCTGACTGCCCGTTCGCGCGCTGCAGCAAGAGTCCCTCGTCCTGCCCGAGCGTGCTCTGACGCCGCTGGCGTGCAATCCCGCCCTGGGCCACGTTGACGTCGTGAGCCGGTGCGTGGGCCCTCCCCCCCCTTCACCCCAACGAGAGAGAGGGATAGAAAGAGGGAGAGAAAGAGGGAGAGAGCGTCGTGTGTGTGTGTGTATATATATATATCTGTCGGGGTACGAGGCCGGGGGCCTCTGGCCAGGTGCCTCGATTCGCCATGGGGGGCTTCCCCCGGGCCTCTCCAGAGCCGCTTCGGGGCGTCTCCCGAGCGGCTCTGGACGGACCCTGGTGCTGTTTCAGCACCAGGAATGGTTCCCATCTTCGACCCACGTCGCCGAAGCACGTGGTAGAGGTTTCGGGAGGCCTCCGGCATGGCTCCAGACGCTTCCAGGAGCACTCCCCAGAGAGCCCCAGGAGGCCAACATTGATGGTTTCCCGATGGTTTTGGAAGGATTTTGGCCTTCTGTTTTTTCGGTTGTACGACGCTCCAAGACGGCCCAGGAGGTGTCCAGGTCCGCCCCCAAGCTGCCCCAGAGGCCCCCAAGACAAACCCAAGGCGGCCTCGGAGAGCCCAAGGCTGACCCAAGAAGCGCCCACGACAGCCCAAGAAGGCTCCAAAACAAGCCCAAGAAGCGTCCAAGAGAGGCACCGCGTACTGAACACCCAGGGCTCCCGCCTCAACAGTGACCCTGGAGGCCCCAGGCAACCCCCAAGAGTCCTCCAACATGGCTCCAAACGCTTCCAAGAGCACTCCCACGAGGGCCCCAGAATGCCAACAAATTATGGTTCTACAGTAGTTTTGGAAGGGTTTTGGCCTTCTGATCTTTGCGGCTGTCCGACGCCCCCAGGCGGCCCAGGAGGTCTCCGAGACCGCCCTCAAACAGCTCCAGAAGCGCCCAACGCCGCCCCGAGGCGGTCCCCGAGAGCCCAAAGCTGGCCCAAGAAGCGCCCAGGGCAGCCCACGAGTGCCCCAAAACAGGCCCGAGAGGTGTCCAAGAGACGGACCGCGCCCGGAAAACCCAGGGCTTCCGCCTCAAGAGAGCCCCAGGAGGCCCCAGGTAGCTCCCAAGAGGCTTCAAACATGGCTCAAGACGCCTCCAGGAGCACCCCCAAGAGGGTCCCAGCAGGCCAACACCGTTCATTGCACGTAGGAATTGGAGGATCTTGGCCTTCTTGTCTTTTCGGCTTTCCGACGCTCCAATAGGGCCCAGCGCGCCTCCAGGTCCGCTCCCAAACAGCCCTAGGCGGGCCCAGAGAGCCCCCGGCCCTACGCAACCCAAGAGTTCCTCGGCAGGATAGTCCGGGAGGGGGGAAGACTGGGGGAGCCTCTGGCGCTCCATGCTCCAGGAACGCTCCTCCGGAACATGGCGCTTCCGGAACACGTGGCTTGCAGTGCACGCCGCCGTCTTCGTGGTAAGAATCGTCGCGGGCATCGCACCTGAGCGGTGACCTCAAACTAGAACCTGAGCGCGCGCGAAGCGCGCGCGATGGTTCTAATCTATATATATGTATATATATATGTGTATATATATATATATATGAGTAAGACGGACATTTCTAATACATGTATCGTGTCTTGACAAACGTGCCTTCGAGGAGCATGCCGCTGCGAGGCCGCTACATGCGGGCTCGGCGGTGGCCTCCGTCGTCGGCGCCGCCGCGCCGTCGTGCTGCGCGGGCGACGGCCCATGCGCGCGGCTGTAGGCTTGGGGCGGGGGTCGGCGCCCATGAGGTTGCGGAAGGCTGCTCGGCGGCGAGCGAGTATGGGGAAGTGAAAAGGAGGAGGCCCTCCCAGAAGGCGGCGGGGCTCCCCAGAGGGCCTCCGGACTTCTGGGCTGGGAGGTTTTTTGTTGCGTCTTCGGGGAAGGTTTCGAGAACTTCTCAGACGGGCCGCGGGGGCGACCGAGCCTTCTGACGAGGGCCGACCCCTCTCGCTTCCCGCCTTCGCTCGCCTCTGCGTGGTTGTGGTGGCGGCGCGGCCGTTCCGTTTCCACCCGACGAGGTGCCCCCGGCCTCCCCACGCCTCGGCGGCGGTCGCTGGCGCGCGCGGCGGGGCAGCGCCGGGGCCGTGGCGGCGGCGTTTTGGAGTGATGGCGACGGATGCGAGGACGGAGCTCGGCAGCCTATCGTGGGAGTCTGGTGTACCCTCTTAATTCTGTCTCCAGCGTCGAATAGCCTCGATTAGCGTATGGAATCGATGAACCAACGCCGATTTCTTGCGTCGATCTAGGGTCGATCTGGCGTCGACGATCATCGGTTCGCAAGAGCCGACAAGATGATGAGGGAGGCTCGCGTGAATTCCCACCGACGACAGAGGGTGGCGGCGATGGGCCTGCTGCCCCGGGGGGGGCGGCGGCCGTGGCTTCCGCATCGGTTCTTCGTTGGTCGACGGTGGCTGCTCTGGGCGCCTGCGCGATCGGCGCTGGCCGCAACCACGGAGCGGGGGACCACGCGCGATCGCAATTCGAGCGCCACGCTCGGAACCCCGCTCGGCGACACCGCGGCGTTCGTCGAACCGAGGCCGTGCTGCTTCCCGCGGAGGAACGCCGCGAGCCAGAGAAACTTGCGTCGTGCCACCACGCGGCACTGCACCTCCGTGGTCGAGGCCAGCCTTCGAGTCTTCGTCGCTTGGCGCAAACTTATCCGACGTGTCCCCCCGTCGACGTAAAGGGGTGCGCGGCTGCGACTGTGCGACGCGGTCCGTCTTTCTTCGAGGAGGGTGAGGCAGGGCTTGGCTGCCTGGCGCGTCGGTTTCTGGCTGCGGCCCGGCGGTGGCGGCTCCGGGCGTATATTAGGATTGGATGCGCGTCTGCTTACGAGGCGTGTCTACAGGGCAGGGGATGCAGGTCCAGGCCTCCTGGGGAATTATGACAATCTAGATTACCGATGGTGGGGGCATAGTGCCCAACGTGATGTATTTTCCGAAAGTCAACGCATATTGAACGCAATTGGTTTTGTGAATGCTGGCATTGCTCGAAGTTACGCAACTCCCTAATTTGAGCGTCTGTCGCGCCCGTTGCATTTGGCGCGTTTTGACGCGCGCGCTTCTTCCATGGATCCCCCGTTTCCGTCTGAGCCACTGGGGGAGATTGTGGATGGATGGGGCGAAGCGCGGCGGCTGAGATCGCGGATGATGATAATTACGAGGGGTCAGGATGGAAGACGGGGGAGGATCGCGCGAGGGCGCTGCGGGAGGCAGCCGCTGAGTAATCTAGTTCTGTAGAGGCAGTGGTCACACTTTGCCATCCGCGCGATGCTTGCGAATTTGATATACACGCGCCCAGCGCCTCCGCCGGCCCTGGAATCTCCCGGGCCCAACCAACCGCGCGATGCGACGGGGCCCTTCATGTGGGAACGCGTCATGGTGGCGCTTCGCTTCGTTTCATCCTGCGAGTTCAAAATTGCCCCCAGCGACTGTTCGAGCGGATTCATTCGACGCGGCGCCCATTCGGTGGATGGGGGCGCGCGCGGGGGGTCTTTTAGAATCGCGCCGACGCGCGCGCCCGCCCTGGGGTCGGAGAGGGGCGCTGGCGCGAAAGCGCGAGCAGAGTGGGGGCGTCCTACGTCGCGGCGGCAATTCGCGGGCCTGCACCGGCAGCGGCTCGCTTCGAAATTTTGGGCGCGCAATTTCGCCTGGCGCACGCTGCTCGGTTGCGGGCGCGCCCCGCCCCCCCTGCCGGGGCGCGGCGTCGCGGCGACCGCTCGAGGGGGCGCCGCGCCGCAAGGGGTTCGCGCGCCGTCGCGCAGGGAACGCTGCGCCAGGCCGACGCTGCCCGCGGTCGCTCGGGAGGCGCCGCGCCGCCGCTGCGACCTGCGCCCCCTCGCCGGGGCGTTCTCCCCGCGACGGCGGCGCGCGCCCGCGCCTCAAGCTTTCCTCGCTCTTCGGGGGAGGCGCGCGCGATCGCGTCGGAAATGCAGCGCGGCGTCGGCGGGCGTTCGCTGCGCCCCCCGAGGGGGCGCCGCTGCCCAGGGGGCGAGCGGCAATATCACGCATTCTCGGGCCCCGCGCGCCACGTCTGACCTTGCGGCGGGGCGCGGCGGGGCCGATCGCGCGGGTGAGGCCGACTGCCGATATCTCGCGCTCTATCGAGCCTTCCATTGAGCTGGCGGGCGAGCCGTTGATTGCGCCGCTCGGCTTCGCGCGGGCTTCGGGGCTCGACGCGCCCATGGGCGCCGGCCGCCAGGCCGCGCGACTCGCCGGCGGCGTCGACTGCGAATCAGGTTTGCGCGCGGGGGCGCGGGTATTGAAGTGGCGCGCTGGGCGCCTCCGTTCGACGCATGGCGAGTGGGCAGATGGCCAATCGCGCCGCCGTCCAACTTCGCGACTTCGCCGCCGGCCCCCCCGGGCTCCCAGGCGACGGGGGCCCCGGGTGTTTCCGCCGCTCGGCTTCTGGGCGCTCCGAATCGCGCGGCTGCGATCGAGGCGCGGGAATGGTCGTCGGAGGTGAACGAGCGAAGCGGGGTGTTGGGCGCGGGCGGCGCAGGCGCGAATGGCTGGATTTCTCGCGCGCGCACGCATTGCGCGCGAGGCTCCTGGGTGCGCGGCAACCTCGCCGCAGGGTCTGTGGGCCCGCGCTCCCGTGCGCAGGCGTGCCGGCCTTTCCGCGGCGACGCCG